GGGGGGTGGGGGGGGGGGGGAAATCCACATATTAGAACTTTTAAAAATTAAATGAAAACCAGGTCTTTCTAAAATGTTCTCTTTTAATTTTAGAATCTCAGCTTAAAAAACATCAGAGTAGTATTTCCCATGGAATGTTTCCATTATAGTTTTCAGAGAGACATGCTAGGCAGTATTGTTAACTAAAGAAAATAAGTCTATCAGTTCCACTTAGATAACCTTTGGTAATAAACGAACTCCGTACACGTTGTGACCTTAGCGCCTGAACTTTCTAATCACATGACCGGCTTGTAAACTGACCTGTGAGGATGACTGTCGTAGTGCCTGCTAAGAGAGAGAAATTGGCTAAGTGTCGGAAGGGTGGTTATCAAGCTGGACTTGTCCTGTAATCTGTTTCTTCATGGCTGCAATAGAACTTCTCAACAAACTGCAAGAAGCATGAAATGGAGACATGGGAAGGTAAGGGAACTGACTGTTTAAGACTGGGACCAAATCGAAGGTTCAGAAATTCTTTGAAGGTTTAAATCAAATAGTAGCTTTGAGGGAGGAGGGAGGCAATCCACTCCTCTTTTGTGTTTTGGCAGAATTCAGCCAGCAAGTTTTCATGTATATAGTAACTGGCTGTAAATGTTTGGAATAGAAAAAATAGAGGGAAACTGTACTGAATTGATTGTTGTGGTTGATGTTTTTAAGAGAGAAAGCAGGAAAAAAGGAAAAACAATTTAAATTTTATAGTGACTTGAAAAAAATGTTAAACTTCATTTTACATTACAGTCCTTAAGTTTACATTTTTAAAAATTATTCTATTTACCTTTTGACAGAATTTGTTTATATGTTAAATTTCTTAATCCCATTCATCCTGTCTGCCAACGCCTTATTTAGTACTGTTAATTATAGGTAGAATTGGCATCATGAGGCTGTTGATAAGGCAACCACATTCACTTTAGGTAACTTAGATACTTTGCAGTTTGAGCATAAGACTAAGACACTGCTAATTTCTTTTTAAGTGGGTTGTTTTTAAAAGGGTTAATATTCTTGCTCTCTCATTAATAGCCCCTAGTTTGTGCTGCAGTTCATATATTTGGAGGTAGGCTCCTACTTTCATTCGAGTGCCCCACACCTTTATTATTTGGGCCAGAAAGACATACACAGCTAAAGAAACATCTAAAAGATGAATTTTAGTATTAAAGATGTGCTGTATTTGTTTGCTGTGTTTTAAAGTATGGAGTCTAAGAGCTTGCCAAGAGTTTGGTTTCTTACAGGCAAGCACTGCTGAGCTATAGCCAGGAGAGTGTCAGATTCCTTGAGGTAGCTGGTTAATTTCTAGGGCATTAACCTATGAAATAGCTCATCTGGGAAAGCTTCCCAGCCCCTTGCAGCATAGCTAACATCTGCCATACGCAGGCAGCTTTGCAGTTTCATACTCACTCTGAGATGCACAAACTAGGGAAGTGGGATGGGACTCCCTCTCATAGCATTCTTATTTATAGTAACACTTTATAGTAATACTCCCTTATATGTTTTTATATACCAGAATTACTTGATTGGTTTCTGTTGTAAATTAGTAGAAACAACAAAGTTTGTAAGAAAATATCAATTACATGCAAGACCTGTTATTTTTTTCTCTTGAACAGCTTCTCTCCTTCCCCCAATTCACACAGAAATTCTTAATTAAACTATTTTGGATATACTAGCTTTTTCAGAAAGGAGTAGTTTAAGAAGTAAGATTTGCCCTGGATCCATTGGAATAGGAGTTTAAGGGTAGTCAGAGATACCGGAGCAGGAGGGATAGGAGTTTGGATGGGATAGCTCTGGAGGATTTGGCCTTTTCTTTTTTTTCCAGCCAGCTTGAATCTCTTAGTGATATATAGTCCACAAGTTCTGAAAGAGAAAAAGGTTTGAACAGAAAGTTCTCCCTCAGTGCTTATTTAATTAGATATTGAAACTTAGACTTTTCTTAGATGTTCAATGGCAGAAAATAACTTCTGGTTCTAAAAGAAGATCTTTCATAAAACAAGGAAGTGAATTTTTGAATTATTCCAGCTGAAGGAGGTCTCTGGAAGCTTAAAAAGCAAAATCAAACTACTTAAATTCTACTGTAAAAAAGCATTGCCTGGTTTTAGATATTGGGCCCTTGTCCATTTAAATTAACCTTTGTCACAGCTGGGCATACAAATGTTTTGTTTTAGTTCACAGAGGGTTAACTCTATTCAAGCTTTCACTGTGGCAGGCCTGATCTGTGGAGTCATACAATCTGGTCTTTCAGCCCTGCCAGTCGCTAGGCAGGAAGTCTTATTTCTTAAGCTATCTTTCAGAATGGGGGTTGGGATTTGGAGAAGGGTGGGGGAAGGGCCTTGGAGCATCTGTAAGGATCAATAACAGAGAGCAAGCCGCAAGAGAGGCCATTGTGCACACTTCAAGATAGATGCAGCCCTTGTGCACAGCTCCTGCCTGGCAGGGCAGACACCTAAAACTGAAACAATGCCATCAAATGAATTCCTTGTGAAAACCAGATTGCTCTTAAAGGAAAAACAATACTTAAGAATGCCTTTTTAATGTTAAGAATATTCTCATTCCTCAACTTTGCTGAAATTAGGCAGTTCCCACTAAAAATAACTCCAAATTGATTTTTAAATGCCTTTTGTCCTCATGCTAATACTGTATTGAATTGGAGAGGGTGATCATTTTGGTCTTAGTCCATGCATCAAAGCATTGAGTAATCTTTCTCTCCCCCCCCCCCCCCCTTCTCTCTCTTCCTCTCTTTCTTTTTCTTTCTCTTTCTTTCTTCCTTCCTTTCTTCTTTCTCTCTTTTTCCCCATAACCTTCTTTCTTTTTTATTCAAATGTTTGCTTTATTGATATTGGAAGCATCATTAAGGAAATGAGAACACACACACACACACACACACACACACACACACACACACAATTTGGTTAGGATTTGAGTAACACATGTTTGAAATCCCTCCCCCAACAGCTGGTATTGGCTCTTGAAAGTTCAACTGAGCTAAACAGATGCTCTTGGTGTGTTATTTTGAGATCATTTAAACAGACTTGTAGCCAAGAAAATACAGAAATCATAAATCGTATTTTTAAATATACTTAGGTTGTGATACCATGCCACATTTAATACATATTATATTTGTGTTAAACACAGATAACCTGAGCTTGTTTAAGTTCCACCAATGAATTTATCATTTGAAAAGCGCTACCATGTTTGTTGGTCTTTTACTCCAGCCCAGATTTTCATTTTTCCAAATCCTCTTTCCCAGGACTAACTGTAACATTCTTGTCTTACTGTATCCTTTTTCAGCCCAACTAAGCTAGTGATTCAGTAGGTACTTTTATGATGCAAATTCTTTATGACAGTTGGAAAGAGTAATGGAGTTATTGTTGCCTCTTTCCCATTAAACTCTGTAAAGTATTGGTGACAACTGATGGTAACAGCTGTGGAAATGGAATTATAAAGAGCCTCTAATATCCTTCTCCCAATTTGAAATCTTCCAGGAATAAATGCATAAACACACTGGGATGGAGGCATAATGTGACTTACAAACATACAAATGGAATGGGGGGGCGGAGGTGGGGGAGGAAGACCTGCATTTGAAATGAGCTCTAAGTTTAATTCACTTTATGCTTCTTGAGTGGAGACCTGACATATTCTTTTGGACAGTTTTGAGGCTCAGAATACTTAAGACACTTCACAAGATCATGTGGGTATTTTTAACACATCCCTAACCTATAACCCTTTCCTAGAGAAAGAGGATGTATACGAAGAAAATCTAATCACCACAAACAGCACCTCCTTAATACCATTGTTTTGCCTGTCTGATATATTATAATTCTGCATTAATATTTAAACCAAGGGAGCAGTTCTTTTAATGGGCATTTTCAGAGAGATACAAATATTACTAACAAAACTTGGAAGTTCAGTTACTATTTACATTGTATTAAAATGGGGTATGAAACCTACCATGACCCCTTTGAACAATGTGGTCTTTAATGTGCTTTAGGGGGAGGGCCTAGTGAAGGAAAAGCCATAAAAGTCTTCAGGGTTCAAGATGAGGTTGGGATTTTTAGCCCATTGCTTTTGTCATTTTCACACACAAGCATCACTGCAATCATGTTTGATTTAGCGTCCTTAATACAATGAGGTGGGAGAACAAAAGGATATCAGGCACAAGTAAGGAAGCCAAACATTTTCCCTTCCCCCCAATTTTTTCAGATCGTTCTCTGTCTTCCCTGCTACTGGGGTTTCTTTTTACGCCAAGGAAATCCGTTCATTTGCAAGAATCTTCTTTTTACATGCTTCAGTGGATTGCTTAGGAAATTGAAAACTAGCCACTCTTTAAATGTTTTTTAAACACATAAAAATCATGTCACATAGACTTAGTAAAAATACCATAATTAGGAAAAATGCATCTACTCTTACATATTTCAAGGTTGAGAGTTTGGGGGTGTTCCCAATGCACAGCTGTTTTACATATTTTGAAAAGCCTGATAGATGTAAAGGTCATTGCTAACTCTAACAGGGCCTTGATGCTAACACTGTGATCCAAAGACCTTGCATTAATTAGGATGAGAAGCATGGAAGGTCAGGAGTCAACCGGCTGGTGGGCTTTGGTGGATAGTCATTGGGGCCAATCACAATTCCTATAGGATTTTTAGCCATTCAAACCAAACCAAACTAAACCAAAAATAAACCCTGCTGCTGCTTCCATGGTCTCTGAGCAGATCCCGTGGGCTATATGGTAAGGACTTGTCCCCTGCTGCCCAGATGGCGCATAAAAACTTGGCCACAGGATTCCCAGTGTTGGGGAAAGAATCTAAGCAGCCTGACTCTGTCACTTAGCCAAGTCACTTAACTTCTGTGAGCCTCAATTTCCTCATGTATACAACAGAGGATATTAATACCAATCTCTCAGGATTACAATGAGAAATAATGAGAACCTCTGTCACAGTGCCCAACACATGCTTACATGCCTTGAAATTGAAATGCGTTTTAAAGAGTAGGAAATTAGGGAGATGAGGAAGAAGAGGATTCTTGGGTGAGCTTGTGGCTGGTGCTGTTTATATACCAAGTAGAAAAATCCCCAGGAAATGATGCCTGTATTCAGTGGGCCCTTTGGAAATTTATCTTGAAAATGCTGTACAACTAGTGAGGTGAGCTACTTGAGCTGTCTCCTACAAAGAATTACAATAGTATTCCTGGGCTAATTAAAATAATTAGTGGGTCCCTGCAAAATCTGTGGCTTTTCCCCTAAGAGAGTCTTTTACAATTGTGTTGATTGGAAGAAAAAGGCGAGGGGATGGGCTCTAAGTGAGCACACAGGTTAAATCATAATCAGGAAAAGGATAGTCACATTATTCCTATCTTCTTCCATGTGTTTTGGTAGATAAATAGATGCCAAGACAATTACCACGGCCATGCTGAATAGCCCTTCTCTGAAGCTTTACCAT